AGAGAGAGAGAGAGAGAGAGACAGACAGACAGACAGACAGACAGACAGACAGACAGACAGAATCTCCAGAAGAGTTCCAAAGTCTGACAGTGCATCCAGAGACTGGAGCCGTAGAACACAATTTAAAGAGGAAAGCAGGGCTCATTCTGCTGCCATGGACACCAACCAAGGTCTAGGGGGAGGAAGAACTTCCCTGAGGCCAATCCTATTGCCTAGAATTTAAGACTTTAGTTTTTGGTTTTTTTTCAAAGTTGCAGTTTTCTAAGACAAGATGCACATGTGTGTGTGCTTGCGTGCACAGATGTAGGGGCATGTCTCCTTTAATGTAACCGAGTCTCCTTCTGCCTTTGTCTCCACTGGGTCTTTTCACTCTAGGGAGTTTGGCTGTCTTTCAGTTGTGATTAAATCAAAATGAAGGTTGGGGTTTTAAAGGGGGAATGTCCCGATTGATACCTCCCCGTGTGCCAGCACAGATATCCAGGGAGGATTGTACAGCCTGTAGGCACCTGCACATGCTTCGTGGCCTCACCAGGTAAGAGCCCTCTGTCCCTGTTTCCTTGCTCAAACATCTCCCAGAGGTTCCAATGTTGCAGAATAAATTTCCTCACCTCCTTAATCCCGGGGCCTGTTTCTGAGCCATGTGCGCTCCAGTTTAAGCATTTGAAATAGAAACTCTGACGGCAAACCACACTGTCTCAGTCTAGTGCTGCAGACACGCCCCCACACTTACTGCTTTGTCACCATTCCTGGGTTGCAGCCTTTCCCAAATAATGTGAGAAGGAGAGCCTAGTCATTTGGAAAGTTGGTGAGCACGCCAAAGTCTGTCTTTCTAGGAGGAGGCTACAGGAGAGAAGGGACCAGCCAGTGTGGACATGCTGCTGTGGGTGTCGGGAAGACTCTAGACCCCGTGGGAAGAACTCTAGAGATTCGGTTGGAAATTTTCTTAGAGGGGACACCATACAATGGGAAAGTGTTCCAAACCTCAGCCAGGAGCTCGACTGATGCTCTATACCTTTTCCTCTAATAAGAGAAAATGGGCTTTCTGGGTTCCTTTGTGATGGCCTTACTTTTCGTTCTATTTTTTTTAATTGGCGCTACTCCAACGTACGCAGTGATGAGCTCATACAGGCACTTTTATTCCCAGATATCCTGTGCTTTGACTGAGTTTCCTCCATATTGTCCCTGGAGTTTCTTTTTTAAAAGTAACTTTAGATTTACAATAAAAGAGCGAGAGGGGAGGAAGGAAAGCAAGCTAGGAAGAGAGGATACTGTGGGCTTAGCCCCTCAGTACCCGACTGTGGCCCTACTGCTCTCTCTCATTTGTTGAATCATGATTTGCTTACGATAGCCAAAAAAGTGTCTAATTGTTGGATCCACATAGGCGGTGGGATTGAAAGAAACCTCAAAAATAAATAAAAATCCAACTCTTTGCAAAAGCCCATGTTCTTTGACACACACCAGTTTGGAAGCCACCCTTGGGGACAGGGGCAGAGTAACACTCCTCTGGCTCCCGTGGACATGTTCCCACGGGAGAAGGGGACCACATCAGCCTCCCTGATTCTAACGATGTGTTTGTCCTTAGATCCTCCTGTGCTCCCCTCTCTGTCCCCCGAGTCTCTGTTCCACGATCAGTTCTCCTCACGGGGACTGAGCCTTTGACTTCCACTCTTGTTCCTTCATTTCATAGCCCACAGACATTTCTCGGCTTCCTCTGTCTAGGGGCAAATGCTGCTTCTAAGCCAGCTCCCCCGAACCTTCCACATACATACATACATGCACACATACATACATGCACACATTAACACCTAGCTGTGCAGCTGTCCAGCCCTGCTGTTTCTGAACCAGAGCCTTAGTCCTACCATGTGCTTCTATAATGCCAGAGTCTCTTCTATCATGTCACTTTCTCACACTGTATTGGAACGTCTCGGTCACATCTCAGTTTCTCGTGCTAACTGTAACTGGAGTCACCAGAAGAGGCCCCAGCCCTAGCCTTGTGCCTGCTGTACTCATGGCCCAGATGTTAAATAAATGTTTATTAAATTTACATTCTGGGATTCTAAGGACTTCCAGACAGCACATTATCTCTGGAAGCTCTCAGATCAAAGATCGACTTTAAAGATCAAAGAGGAACTCCAGATACTGAGGCAAAATCAAAACTTAGCAAAAAAATATTTCTCTTTACTCCTCCGAATCCTTCATATTTTAATCTCCCATACTCTTATCTTTGTTTAAGAAAGAGAGAGGGGGCAGAGGGAGAGAGATAGAGAGATAGAAAGAGACAAAGAGAGACAGAAACAGAGAGAGCGATGGATAGGAAGAGAGAGTGAACCTATCACTTGGCAACATACCATTTTCTGGCTCTTTGTGTATGCATGTGTTTATATTCCGGTGTATGGGGGTGGCTGCACGTACTCATGTGTTTATGTTCGGATGCATGTGGGTGAGTGCACACGCATGTGTTTGTTTGGGTGCGTGTGGGTGAGTGCATGTCTGCATGTATTTCTGTTCGGGTGCAGGTGGGTGAGTGCATGTATTTCTGTTCGGGTGCAGGTGGGTGAGTGCATGTATGTATGAATTTATGTTCAAGTGCATGTATGTATGAATTTATGTTCAGGTGCATGTGGGTGAGTGCACATATGCATGAATTTATGTTTGGGTGCATGTGGGTGGGTGCATGTATGCATGGATTTATGTTCAGGTGCATGTTGGTGAGTGCATGCATGCATGCATGAATTTATGTTTGGGTGCATGTGGGTGGGTGCATGCATACATGGATTTATGTTCGGGTACATGTGGGTGAGTGTACATATGTATGTATCTCTGTTAGGTACATGTGGGTGAGTGCATGCACGCATGGATTTATGTTCGCTACATGTGGGTGGGTGCAGGCGCATCTGTTTGAGCAACCCCGTGGAGTGTCTACCTCAATCACCTACCATCACATTTTTTGAGACATAATTTCTCACTGACTATAGAACTGGTTATGTTTGTCTGTCTGGGCAGTAAGCCCCAAGATGGATCTCTTCCTGTCTTCATTTCTCCATGGCCTGGATTGTAGGTGTGTGCCATGGTGCCAGGGTTTGTTTGTTTGCTTGTTTTTGTTTTTACGTGGTTTCTGGGGATTAAACTCGGACCTTCATGGTTGCTCACAAGACACTTTACCAACTAAGCGACCTCCCCAGCCCTTGTTTAGTTGGTTTTAAATTTCACTGATCACGGGCAGACTTGTGATACTGTCTATTACAGGCTGTGTGATCTTCGTGAAGATGTATGTGAAACTTTGTTCTCTTGCTTTTAAAGGAAGATTCTTTGGCACTATTTCCACCTAAAGGTGGGACCAACGTTCTTCCTCTTCCCACTTTAGTTTGGGTGGGTTCTGTGTGTGCCTAGTCATTAGCAATAGAGTAACACTTTGCCAGATTCTTATATAAGCTTTAAGAGATTGGTTTCTATTTTCTGTCTTAAGAGTGCCCACTTATGAGAAATTACATGTTCTGAGACAGCTTGAGCTAGGGCTAGCGCTTCCCACCTGTCTAGTTGAAATGTAGATGTGTGGATGAGGATGCCATCCTGGATGCTCAGTCACAACCTTTGGATGACACCCGACTTGGCTGTCATCTGATGGCGTTACTGACCTATTTCTTTGTGTCTGCCCCCCCCCCCGCCAATAATTTGGATTTCCAAAAAGTGCTAACTACGTGCTATTATCTGAGGTTGACCAGACACAGGTGGCAGTTACTGGGGAGACATGTGTTACTAACACGCCTTTTTTTTTTTTTTTGCCGTTTTCCTCAACTTTCTTTTCTCTCTCTCTCTCTCTCTCTCTCTCTCTCTCTCTCTCTCTCTTTCTCTCTCTCCTGTGTTTCAAGTACAGCCAGTTCATTTTGACTTAAAGTAAAAATACTAAATTCAGTCTCCATGATGCAGACAGAAAAATCACAGGCTTGGTTAGTCTCGTGGTAATGAAAATGAAACATCAGAAGCTAAAACGATTCAAAGCAAAATTCCCTCTGAGAACTTTTAACATGTCTGTGTGTGTGCAAAAAGCAGCCGAACAAACACTGCAGACTACGTAATTATTTCTCATGTAAACACTACAGAATTGCAGGCTGGGGGGCCGAGGGTTGAAAGGGGCCTGCTACCTGTAATTATAGCTTTGCTAAGCTTGATTTTATAGACTGGCAAAACTCAAGCTCGATTGAAATCACACAGAAAGACATGATGCAAATTGGACATGCCCTTTCTCCCTGACTCAGACGGCTGACCTTACTTCATTCCGCGTTCCCCGTAGAAGGCAGCCTTGTACAGTTATGGCTCATCCTGTGTGCCCGCTGATTAGGCTGTTCATCCTAGAAGACTTAACCAAGGCAGTTCAACAACACCTTCTATTTCCTTTCCAATTCCTTCAGCTCTTCAAACTGTTAACAGATACGGGTAAATTCTACTCAGATACCTGGTGAATAAAATCCAGAACAGAAGGTGATTCAATGAGAAACTCTTGGTACTGGCATCAGCACCTTTTACATTTCTACCTGTAATAGGGGCATACAAAAAGTCACTGGCTTCCCTCTCTTAGGCGCCAAGATATAAGGGCCTGAGGGTTGTAAGGTGGTGGTGGCAGCGATAAGGTCTAGAAGGTTGCTGAAGTTGGCATCTGGCCAGCCTTTGACGGTGCTTTACTCTGATGACAGCACCGGTGGGGTGGAAGGCATTGTATAAGTGCTGGGCCCCATATCTTCTTGGCGGCAAGCCACTTTGAACTAATCACGTTTATCTAGCCTTATGACTACACTAAACGCGGGGCCCTTCTGCCTCCCAGAGAGTTCCAGCCAAGCTACAGTGACTGTTTTCTTACCAGTTCACAGCTCCAGGAGGAGCTGTGACTAGCTGAGAGGTACAAGCTTGCTTTAGTGACTTGGGGGTGCAACACTTGCTTTCTGCAGTGTGTGTGTTCTTGTGAGCTTGTACTGTCTACAAGAACTAGAGCAAAATGGATATTTTGTCCCAAAGACAAATGCCACACTTTATGGCAGGGAGGGGCGTCCTTGTTTACAGATACAATGGTGGGGAAAGTATAACCCAGCACAATACTTTGGATGTAACCAAGTAAGAGAAATCAACGTCTCCAGCGCATGAGCAGAATACAAAGCCAGACTTCAGGGTAGTGGCTATGGGCCTGTCCTGTTCCCTGTCAGGTTCCTTAGGGTCAGAGGTGGAGAAGCCAATTAGATGCAGGCAGCGACCAGCATGGTTAGGGGACCCAGGACCCAATACAGAGAATGCCTCTAGGGACTGCCCTAAGGAGGTCCGGCGGCGAGGTGGGCAGACAAGGATGGGTGCCCCTAAACCCACCGAGGATCTGCGACCCCGCAGATATGACAGGTCTCTCACGAGGATCTGAGACTTCGTAGGCACAGACAGGTTCCCCACGGGGATCCAAGACCCAGAAGACAGGGCTGTCTCTCACGCGGATTTAAGGCTCGGTAGAAACGGACAGAACCTTCTACGCGGATCTGAGACCCGGTGACCCTGCAGCCACCGCTGGGGCCGCGTGCTAGCGCAGCGGGAGACGGCTGGATCCCTCACGTTGCCTCCCTCGCGCCCGCCGCCCTTTTTTACCCCGGGTCTCACGGGGCCCAGCACTTGCTCTGAGCTCCTTTGTGGGCGTAGCTTCTCTGCGCAGGCCAAAGGCGGGGCCTCGAGCTGGGCGCCCGGGGATTGGTCGCCCTGGGCGTGGGCGGGGCCTGGGCCAGGAAAAATCAGCACCCGGCCGCCTGCTGTCCCAGTTGCGAGCCGGAACGGCTGAGACCCTTGTCCGGTCGTTCTCCCTGGTACTTTCTAACCTCCTCGGCTGTGCGGCGTCGGACCTGCTCACCCTCTCCGCGCGGTGCGAGCTGCTCCTGTCCTCACTTCCCTTTCCGCGCGGGTCATTCCGGCCGCAGCGGCGATGCGCCTCATCCAGAACATGTGCACCATCGCCGAGTACCCCGCCCCGGGCAGCGCCGCTGCCGACTACTGTCTGGGGGTTGCGGGCCGGCGGCTCGTCAAGATCGCCGTGGTGGGGGCCAGCGGCGTGGGCAAGACCGGTGAGTCCAAGCGAGGACCCCGCTTGGTTGTGGGACGGGACGTGGGAGACCCCCGTCCGGACTGGAGACGGGAGAGGTGGGCGTTGCAGCAGAATCGTCCGCCCCTTCAAGCTCCTGCTTCAATTTAAGGGGGCCATAGTGGCCCGCCAACTTTCAGGTTAGAGTAGAAGTTTAGGGCTTTGAGCCTCTGGCAGGGTCTGGGGCAGAACAGAAAGTTGACTACAGAACCTCCTGGAGTTCTGTAAGGTTAGGAAGACGTTTGCCAGCTGGACTCAAAGGAGGAGCTGGGCCACACACCCTCCCTCCCCACTGTCAGAGCCGTAATTCACCCGGCTTCTACCCTCTAGTGTCTGGCTGAGGGGTCAAGGAGCTACAGGGCAGGAATTTCTCTCGGTGGCCGGCTGTGACTTTCTTCGGAAGAGTTGTGTTCCTGATGGGGGTGGGGTGGAGACCCATGTAACTTAGTGGGTTAACTTGTTCTCCTTTCTCAATTGCAGCTTTGGTGGTTCGATTCCTCACCAAGCGATTCATCGGAGACTATGAACGAAATGCAGGTGAGGAACTACATTGGGGAAAAGTCTGTTGGGCTTGCTACTCTCATTTCTCAGTGCCTTCAAGGACACTGCCTTCGGGGTGACAGTGTGAGGATCAGGATTCTGCTACTTCCAATTCTGCACGCCACCCCACCCCCCAGCTGCCATCTGGCCTCATTCCATTCCAGGCCCATTCATCATTTTATCAAGTGCCCAAAAGTATTCCCAGTGGTATGCTTTAACTATAGGGTCCCCAGTTGGAAGCACCCTTTGTACTCCAGGGGCTTTTCCTTTCAAACATGCCTGCAAAAGTCATAAAAAAACAAACAAACAAAAACCCAACCAAACCCAAAAACCCACTGACCAGCTCCTCCCCCCACCCTCTCCCTCTGCTGGCTGCCTTTCAAAGCAAAGGCCAAAGAAGGGTAGTTGTAAACCTGAAGTTCTTTCCTTAACAAAGAGAAAGAACTCGCTGAGGATTTTAGAGGCCAGAGCTCCTGAAAACTGAGAAGACAGACACTTCATTTCCAATGGTTGAAAACAGCCACTGTCCCAGGAGCTTTTGGTACTTTCTGACCATGACTTGTTAGCAAACTGCTTGAGTGGGCAGACTGCATGGAGTACTTGCTGAGGATTAGGTGAAATGAGCCATAGAAGCCATCCCAAGCGGAGACACAGCAGCCTTCTGCTTTGATACAGTCGTTCATCATCATGGCACAGTTCTATGCCAGGCACATTAACTGTATTTACTAACCATATTTGCCTATGAGTCTCTTATATCCAGTGGACAAAATATGACTGTTTAGAGACTGATAACGTGCTAAAATAAATACAGAAGCTCTGCACATGGAGGGCCAGAAAATATGCGCTTCAAGGAAATATTCTAAATATGGAAACTCAGAATAAAATTAGACCAGCAAGTTTCTAAAAACCCACAAACTTTGACATGCTTTTGATAAATCTACTAGCAAGGGGCTAAACTTGCAGCTGGCCTTTAAACCAGATCTGAAGTAAACTCATTAAATAGAAGGGAACTACTTTTTTTTTTCTGTGTATGGTGTAGGCTATATGGCATTAAAAAAACCCCACATTTCATAACCCCACATGATCTCTTTTCTTTGCCTTCGTAGGTAATCTCTATACTAGACAGGTCCAGATAGAGGGCGAAACCCTGGCGATACAAGTCCAGGACACTCCAGGCGTCCAGGTGAGGAACCATGATGCTGAGCGGGTCAAATTGTTTACTGGTTCATCAGCTGAAGGAAGACATGCCGTGGGGAGCGAGGCCCAAACCTTTACATGTTGTTTGACAGTTTAATTGTACCTGGCCTGCGGTCAGCCTTGGCCTGGCTTAGTTTGGGAGACTGGGGAAGGGCAGAGCCCCTCCTGTAGGAGGAGTCACCACACGGGGCGTGGGGCGTAGGGTGTTGGCAAGCCAACACTTGGAATCAACAGTGTTTCCTTGCTTCGGTTTTTATGTACGTGCCTTGGCATTAAAAACCAAATATGTGGGTCCAGTCTCCACGCCCGGAATCGCGTTTTATGTGGTGGGAAGTTTCTCTGCAGACAAAAGAGCTCTGCTAGTGTTTTTTTCTTTTTCCCCGTCCTGCGCTGGGCAGTTATCCAGGTTTAAATGCTTCCCGCTCCTATCTTTGCTTCCCCAGACTCCCTGTCTAGCCAGTTAATTTCCCATTCTGTGCAACTACAAAGTCTCCCTGCGTGGAGTTCTCTGTAGTCCATTTTCCACTTGAGTGTGGTGAGCTGCCCTGTTATTTATCCCAACTCCGAGCAGCTGGATCAACATATTGTCAAGGAAGCCAAAGTGTGTGGGGATAGGACTTGTTTACAACCCTAGCCCGCCATCGTCACCACACGCGGGGTTCTTTAGAATTCAGATTCCGACTGAGCCCAAGCTCTGTGCAGTGCTCACTGTTCACCTTGCTCTCCCGTCCCTTCAGGTGCATGAGAATGGCTTGAGCTGCAACGAGCAGCTGAATCGCTGCATTCGCTGGGCAGACGCCGTGGTCATCGTCTTCTCCATCACCGACCACAAGAGCTATGAACTCATTGGCCAGCTCCACCAGCATGTCCAGCAGCTTCACCCGGGCACTCGGCTGCCTGTGGTGGTTGTGGCCAACAAAGCCGACCTGCTACACATCAAGCAGGTTGACCCGCAGCTTGGACTGCAACTGGCCGGCATGCTGGGTTGCTCCTTCTATGAAGTATCTGTCAGTGAAAATTACAACGATGTCTACAATGCTTTCCACATCCTTTGCAAAGAAGTGAGCCACAAACAGCAGCCCAGCAGCACACCCGAGAAGCGCAGAACGTCCCTCATTCCCAGACCCAAGTCACCGAACATGCAGGACCTGAAAAGGAGGTTCAAGCAAGCTCTGTCTGCCAAAGTGAGAACTGTCACGTCTGTCTGAAGTGTGACTCCTTGAGGGGGTTTGGTCTTCTGGGCAGAGGCCTGAGGTTCTTAGGCAGGGCCACTGCAGGCGGATGGCAGTTCATGGTTCCAGAAAGGGCTGCAGCAGAGGGGCCTAAGGGGCCTGTGGAATTCTGCAAAAACCAAGTGTTTGGAGCCCGAGGACAGATGGACGGCTATGTGACTTTTCTGCCTGGTCCTTTACCATGAGGATGGGGCATGTTTTTGTTCCTCACTACCTTATAAAATGGTGGTTAGTTTTGCTAAATACATTGACGTGAATTAGGGCAGGCACGAAAGAACCAGGAAAGCATTCACAAGCTTTCTCTCCCGTCTCCACTTTTTTTTTCCTCCCAAGAGGAAGGGTTGCTTTTCTCAGTGTCTCCAACATGCTATCTTTATGGGATGCCTTTCTGATTTGAAGGATACCCAGATTTCTTTACAAACAAGGAGGGACCCTCCCCACCCCACAAAGGTCATATTTTAGGGCAAAATATTCTGTGTACAGACTCCTGTGAGCTGTGGTCTACAGGAAGGTGCTAGATCTCCTGGTGCAGGATGGGTATACATATTGAGTAGCTGTGAAAAACTCAGCCCCGGCCTGCCCAACTGTGACAGTGTACAGTTGTTTGTTTGCTTTTTTTGTTTGTTTTTTTAACTGTGGCATCAGGTACAGAAAAAAAGTGTTAATAGATGGTGGTGTGGTTTGTGTGAATGACTCACGGCAATGACGTTGGGTCGCTTCTTGGGCCTGGCTGAGTCGTGGCTGTAGGTGGCTGAGATACTGAAATGCTGTCTTACCGAGTGACCAGATGTGGCCTCGCTGCCAAATCCCCTACACCGATGCACTTTAAGAAGCCAATCATGCTTTGGCTCAAACTGTAATTTATTTTATGTACAATAAATCTCTCATTTGATAAGAGCAGCCGTTTGAAATGTTTGCCTCCTGTCCTGCAGAGATTGTTGTTTGGAACCCCGTGTTGATTGAGAAGGTTGAGTTAGGGGATGTGTCTTCCAGGCGTGATCTCTTATGCCTCACAACATGTGACCAGTGAGGTACATTTTATTATCCTGATTTTACACATTGTAAAATATCCTTGCAGAACAAGGTTCGTAATGTGAGGGCTCCAACCCGTGAGCACCATCCAGTGTGACTTGGCCTTCCTATTCCAGAGCTGCATGTCTCCTACTCATTTCCTTCACGGCCCTCTGGGTAGACCTTAGACAGCTGTCTGTGCGCATCTTAACAGAGCCGCTGGGGGCAAGTGTGTTTCTCCACAGATCAGTGCTGCTTCGTGTGTGACGCTTAGCGGAGGTTTTCCGGGCACGCTGTCCTCATAGGAAGCGCTCACAACCATTGATTTGGAGCTATTCAGGAGCAGCTCCTCCCATGGAGCTTTTGTCACACGTGTGCCGCAGCTGCCGGGCCTCTCTCTTGTGCTGCCATTTGGGCTTAGAAAGCCTTTCACGCAAGCTCAATGAGTCTCCATCACAGTGGGCAGGGCACTGTCCTTCTGTCCAGGCAGCATGCTCCATAGTGGTCTGGGTTGACCCTCCAGAGAAGCCTGTGAGGAGGGAGAGGGAGCAGCTATCACGACTGCACAATCGAGCGATGTCCTGAAGCTCACATAATGGAGTTCAGCCAGTGTCTTCTGACTAGTCCATGATCTTCCTCTGTCATGCTTCATATGTAAGACGCATGCTGCCACAGGGTGCGGAAGTGAGATGTGTTGGCAGTCTGCTGTGATATAGGGCTGGGTTATTCAAGCTCATTTTCCCAGGGGAACATCTGACTGCTCTTGACAGTGACATTTTGACATTTTATGTTTTGTTATACGTAGAACTTGTTATTAAAAAAAAAAAGACAGAAAACTTCTTCAAACCTAGCCTCACCTCACCTCTGGGAAGGGTGTGTGTTGACAGCAGGGTGGGGCACGGTTCCCACAGAAGACTGAGACAGTACAAGGGCAGAGACAAGATCTATATTCTACTCAGTCTTCCTCTAGTGTGACTGTTAGCAATGCCCAATGAGCGAACAGGTCATCTTTGCACATTGTCCCTGGGCTCCCCCATGTCCTGAAATGGGAGACACAGAGCTTCGCAGAGGATAGATTTTTGGGCTGAGTGGAATCAGCCTTCCACCTCTTACCTGTCTCCTCTCTGCTCTTCCATCTCCGCAGGGCTCCGGCTGGTCTCTCTCAGTCTAGCTGTCCTGCATCTTCTGTCTCCTGCTCTTGGCACAGATGACTGCCCCCACCCCTTACCCCGTGCATTCTCAGCCTCTCACTTCGTGTAGGTGGGTCTTTTTGACTATGAGGGGTCCTTGGCTACAGAAGGATGAAGTGGAGGGAGGGGAGAGGGAGAAAATGAAATGGGAACCACCCAAGACCTAGTCCAGGCCGCCATCTCAGCTGGACTGAACCTTCTGCAGTTCTAGACAACTGTGTTCTCAGCATGTTTGGCACAGTGTTCAGTGCTTCAATAATCTCATCTGTTTCTGCACTAGTATCTCTCCACTTACCTTCCCTTCTTACCCTCTACAAACTCTGGCTGAGAAACAGCGCCCCCGCCACCAGGTAGGGGATCCTATGAGTCTGGTATAGAGGAGGGGAATGAGGGTTTATTGAGTACTCACTACATGCCAAATTGCACATGCTCTTTAATCTTTGGGAGACCCCCGAGGGTCACTCACTAGTTTAAGATGAGGAAACCAAGGCCTAGAGATTATGTTAGTTTAGGGCCAGATGGTAAGAGCACTCTACTTCATTTACGGACTGTCTGGGCACCAGCAATAGGAGATGTCTGTAACAAGGGCACGCTACACATTAATTTATCTCTCTTTAGTATCCTACACAGGAAAGGAAGCAACAGGCTGGGCTCAGGAAGCTGATCTGAACCCTACCCTAAGCCATTCTGATACCAAAGCTTGTCGTCCCCACCCTTTTACCCCCCAGACAGCTGTGGCTCTGGGCCTTCTGACCAGCCAACCGTCTTGGCTCCGCTTCCCCAGCTCCCTCCACCTCTCTTCTGCTACCAGCTTGGTTACTGCCTGGGCCTGGGGCTCCTGGCAATTGGACCACATCTGCTGTTGCCATTAGCCAGAGGCTGCTGGCTGCTTTGGCCTCCAGCCCCCTCAGTAATAAAGACGTCCAGGTTGGAGGAGCTGCCTCCCAGCCGGTCTGTCTCAGAGCCCAACCCATGTCTGTCATGAAGTCTGGCTTTCTAGTTTCCTTCTAGCCTCAAATCAAAACCACTTGCAGCCCTGGCTGGGCCTGGCCCTGCTGTACAGTGGCAGGGGAGGCTGGGAGGGAGGTTGTGAAATTGCCTTCTATCCTCATCCAGCTCCAGAAGGTTTGCCTGTCTGGCAGCTCAGAACCAGAGCTTTGGGGGCTATGGCTGTGTTTATAGAGAGTCCCTTATTTATGAGAGAAAAAAAAAAGGGATTTCAACATTGATCTTTTACTCTAAGAGGGTAAAAACAGATCTATTTTCTGGGTAAGGGAACACGTTGTAGGCAGATTCCCACAATGGAACAGTTGGCTCGCTGTAGTCTTGCTTAGGAGAAAGGAGATGGCCAAGGCCCAGCTGCCCAGCTGTGGAGTGCTCCCAGAACCTCCGGGTAAGAGCCCAGCAGGAAGGCACTGCCTGCTTACAATACAGAACCCAGAAAGCTGTCTGGGCACTCCTGGAAATCTAGAGAGGCGGTTTCAGCAGGTTCTTATTGTCTTCATCAGTTCCTGAGTTGCAGAAGAGAATGGGGTTACAAGCAAGGGTAGGGAGACCCCACCACTCCCCTACTCTTGCTGCCTGGCCTGCAAGCCCTCAGCCATCTGGTTGTCTGAAGTTCCTTTCAAAGCAGAGATGGAGGTTTTTGATGTTTCCTGGGCAAGCCAACAGACAGAATTTGTAATAGTGGATTATTTGTTGTTGACATGCTGTTTCTGGTAACTAGGGTAAGAAGAAACAATAGTGGTCTTGGTAGGGGGATGGAATCATTTGTTATGGAAATATCAGCGAAACCGTAGGGACCCTGGCACAAACAGTTATAGGCACAGGGCCTGGCGCTCTGCGGGGAGTACTGCCAAACACTTGGCTTATGCCCTATGCTTGTGGGGACAGTGCTCCAAAAGGAGCAGACCTCAGTCGCCACAAAGCATTTACCGGGATTTTAATTGTGTATATAAAAAGTGGCTGCAAGGCCCTTGGTAGGAGATCGGCCTGTGTATGCTTGCTTTGGCCTGCCTGGTTTAGGTGGTAAATACGCCCAGGTCTGAGAGTCACTAGTGCTCAGCTCCTCAGCTGGGCTGTTTGTGCCACCTTCATGTGGCTACCATAAGGGGTGTGGGGTAGGTCACTTTAAAACTCATACATTTGGATAATATGGAAATGGTAAATGAGGCTTTCAACCCCAGACTGCACAGACTACACCGCTAGCTTTCTGGCTAACATTGGTGACGGAAAGTTTCTCCTGGGAACAGGGATCTGCAGAGGCAGTCACCCGACACTTATCACTAGCAGCGTCTTCGGGTTCCTACTCCTGTGAAGAGACACTATGACCACTCCCCCGTTTCTCCAGTGTCCTTATTCAAACCAGACTCCAGTAATCACCAGCTTCTTCCAGCTTGCCTGCCCCCAAAGCCTCGGTCGCCGATTGCTCTCCTGACCCAGTTCTTTCAGCCAGTGACCACTGAGATGGAAGAGGACGACTACAAAGTAAACTTCTCACACTTTTCGCACCAACACCAGCCATGGCCATACTCACTTTAGTGTTAGAGCATCCTAGAAGGCTAATGTAACTGCTATTTTACCCTAGTAGGAGAGTAGGCGTTTCTGAATATTCTTTTACTAGGTAAGAGATAACTTGCCAAGATGAACTATTGCACCCACAAAAGCAACACACAAATACATATTTGGTGTAAAAACCTGAAACAGCACAGAAGTAATGGGAGGGTGACTCCCCCTTTCCTATGTTCCCCTTGATGTGCCTTCCAGATGGAAACACTGGCTAGCAGTTTGGTTTGGTATTTTCAGCCTCCCTTTGCATGTAGACATATGGTGTGCACCTGAACCCTGAGGAGAAACCCACCGGGCACCCAGACATGAGGCTCAGCATCAGCTTCTCATCCTGTGAGTGCCATGGAGTTAGGGTGGTACCTGGTTTGTGAAAAGCTTGGCTCAGAACTTCTCAGAGCATCTGGAATGTTCTCCACAGGTTCCCATTCAACACGTGGGAAAGGATGGATGAGCGAATACAGTTCTGGGTCATATGGCAGGTTACTTTAAATTTCTTTATTTTAGAAAGCACTTGTCCCTGCATACATAGAATTTCTCTGAGGTGAACGCCATTTTTTTTTTCCTCATTCAAATGACAGACTTTTAGCTGAGCGGGATTTAAGAAGAGCCGCCTTATAGCTGAACACCATCAAAGAGCAGGGAAGGCAGGACGCACACTTGGGTGGAAAATGAACATGTTGTTTAATAAGTCAGCATCATTCACCTCAAAATGATTCTAAATTCGCAGTTCTTTTTTTTCTATTTGCTTAAAAGGACAGCATTTAACAGAGAAGTAAAAGTATAGCCATGTCTTGGTTTACATTTTATTTTGTCTTCCTTCTTAATCCACACGAGAAACTGTTTTTTGGCGTTGTCTCATTCCAGACATCCATTACTCACGCCAGGAGCTCCCACCGGCCATGTCCCCGTGAGCGGTGTCTGGGTTCCAAGTAGTTCTTTCTTCCCTTTTTCCCTAGAGTTCTCATATAATTTCACTAGATGCGTCTGGGTTTTTCTGCTATGACCAGAAAGAAAATATAAAATCCCAGAAGGAGGCTTTCGCTTTCAGTAGGAATTTGAAATCACAAAGGCCATGTGGGAGTTGTGTTTCCAATCTAGACTCCTTGGGAGGGAGCCTCTTCCACACAGGCTTCCTCTGGGCCAGAGAAACCATGTGCAGCAAGGACAGCCCTCCGGCACCCTCTCTTCCTCTCTCCCACTACTGCTCCAAGTAGTGGGTCTGCCCTGATCCTTGAACCAGCCGGAACAAAGCAGCCCTTTGTTACTCTTGGGGTGATTTACCATTCACGGAGGCCACCAGGCTAGTGCTGCCCAGGCGGGTCTACCCTTCCTTTCTTGTCTTTCAGAAATGTTTTGGAGTCAGAGAGAAACAAAGTCTCAGGCTCTGTCTGTGACATCCCTTTTTCACTTACATAATCACAAGGACAATCTAGCTTTCCTCAAGCAGGGAATTCTAAGGACATTTAACCTTCCTTGACTTTTAACTTTGAACTGTAATGCTTGTCTCTGCCACCACTTGCAGGCAGACTTTTATCCAGGGCTAAGAGACTTGCAGGCGGCTCCTGAAAGAACTACAGTAAGGGGTGAAGATAAATCAGAGGGACTGAGGTGAAGTCAGCTAGAGACAGCTTGACACCTATAGAAGAGAACGAACACGCAAGTCTTTATTTTGCTTTTGAAGAACAGGAGCAGTCCAAACACACCGTCTTCTGCTGGCCATGAGGTCCTCTCTGGCAGAATGAAGTCATACCTATCATTAGTGACAGGGACACTGGCTTTGGAGGCATATCTGGAATGGTGACAGCTGGGTATTGGTATTTCCAGCTCAAACCGGTCTTATCTTCTCTTAGATGTCAGAAGCCAAGGTCTGGGTGCAGCCGGTCAGTGGCAAAGAGCAGCTCAGGAATGTTAAGTGGCTTCAGGAGTCTTGTGGACAGCACCATCACCTATGACAGGAGGGACAGGCACGGCACAGTTAAGGGGGCCAGTTGGTTATCAGGGGCTAAGAAAGGGGGCACGGGGTGAGCAGACATGGCACAGGGTCCCTCATCTACAGCCCGGCTGCTAAGATGGCTCATGCTTTGGTCACTTAGTCCATGAGGACCTTTGGGTCCACGTGGCTGATGCTGGGTGACTCTTCCTTCAGCCTGGCCTTTAGTGTGAGGTTGATTTCTCTCCACACCAAGACAGCTTGTTTTGGGAACTGCCTGGGGGCATGGTAAGCTTTGTAAGAGCCAACTGAGGGTCTGTCCTTAAGAAAGCGCCTACAGGAAATCAGGGCGGTGATCCAGAAGAAATTCCACAGGCCAGTACCAGAGTGTGGCATGACCGGGCGGCCTCCGGCCGTGCGACACTGGACACTGGACAGGTGCAGGGAGGACACCTCCCTGTCTGCTTGCCTGCCCCCAAGGTTATCCCAGGTGTAATGAAATCAGTGAAGTAATCAACTCCAAATTCAACTAGTTCATTGGTGCAAAGCAGAGGCCACATTCCAAAGTGAGGCCTAACAGGAGAGGGTCATGGCCAAGGGAGGGAGTGGAAGAGAAACATTTAGAACTTTGTTTTCCTTCTTGAAAATAACTTTAACGACCTTGTTGAAGAGTTCTCTCTTTCCCAGAGTGCTGCCTTTGAAGCACTTGTTCTATCTCAAGAAATACATGGCTAGTGCCAACCAACCCATATTTTTAGCAGGGAAAAAAAAAGCACTGAGACCTGAACTTCTTATTTCCCTTGACATCTATGCAAGAAGGGTCTGAAGACAGGGGTGCACTGCAGCGTGCCCTCGTGACCCAAGCGTGTGTGCTGCACAAACCAGGTAGGCACGTGGCAAGGGGGCTCCCGGGTCAGAGCTGCCAGCAGAGGCTGGGGAGCTCACAGCTCTGCTGCTGGTTGGCTGGATTCCCTCTGGAAAGTGACTTTACTTGGAGCCTCCCTCTCCCACCTCATCTGTCCCAGAAAGAAAAGAAGAGCTTGCAGCATTGCCACCAGGGTTATGTAAGCTCCTCTCCGGAGAGCCTAGGAAGTGCTTGACTACTGTGATTTGGTGATGGGTTTGCAAATTTCCTTCAGAATCACAGAATTTTGGAAGCACAAAATTTTTTAGAGAAACACATGGAGGTTCATACAGTTTTAAGGGACCCTTATGGGATTTGCAAACCATCATTAGGAAGCCCATTTAAAAAGGTATGCATAGGGATGAGGAGATGGTTTAGTGGGCAAAGTGCATGCCATGTAAGCATGAGAACCTGTGTGCAACTCCCAGAATCTACAAGAGAAATCTGGGTGTGGAGGTGTGCGTCTGTAACCCGGGGACTGGGAAAGCAGAGGCAGATAGATTCTTGGGGTTCCCTGGCCAGAGGAACCCCAAGAGCTACTTGATGAGCTCCAGTTCAGTTGAGAGAATTTGTCTCAAAAAACAATGTAGACAGGTCCTGAGGAAGAACAGTTGAGTTTGTCCTATGCCTGCGTATACACACACACACACACACACACACACACACACACACACACACACACGTTGTAAAAGGAGCGGCAGGCTGTATCCCGCCACCTGGCTAGCTTATACCCGAAATAATTACACAAAAACTGTATTCACTGAAATACTGTCTTGCCCATTAGCTCTAGCCTCTTATTGGCTAACTCTCACATCTTAATTAACCCATTTCTATTAAATTTGTGAATCACCACATGACTGGCTTACCGGCAAGATTTTAACCTATGTCAGTCTCGGGTCAGAGAATCATGGTGTCTGCCACACTTCCCTTCTTCCCACCATTCTGTTCTGTCCACTCCACCCACCTAAGAGCCGCCCTATCAAAAGGCCAAGGCAGTCTCTTTATTAAACCAATGAAAGCAACAGAAATACAGAAGGACCTCCTATAGCGCACGCACGCACACACACACACACACACACACACACACACACACACACACACACTCCCCAGCCTCTGGATGTAGATCCCTCTAAGGTAGAAGAGACCAGCAGTGGTTAGTATACTGTATCCCCATGACTTGGCAGTCCCTGCTATACTGCCAGCCTCCCCCAACCCCATCTCACAGTCCTCAGCCTAGTCTAAAGCCAGTGAACTCCTCTCCAGCTGAGGTTGGGGGCAGGAGTGAGGGTGGAGTGTTTCTTCAGAGAAGATCAACTCTTGTTGTCAGGTTGAAGAACTCAGGAGTGCACGGCTACAGATTCATTTGACGTCAATGCGGAGAGCAGCAAACGAGCCTAAAAAACCTGCCCCTCTCAGTCCTGCTCAGGCGCTGTGCTGGGCTCACGGCCATGGCTGACAGTCAGGATTGGCTTTTCTCTGAGTGAGAACACAAAGATCCGGCTCCTCTCAGCCAAACAAGTAGGCCTGCGAGGTGAGGCGACGGCCTGTGGAGCAACACTGCTGAGGGCGTCTGGGGCCTGCTCTGGATCAGGTGAAAGCAATGGGAAGCAGAAGCCGATTGTGAAGTAGGTTAGGGGGCCTGCGAAGAAGGGGGAGAGCAGGGCTGAGTCCTGACTCTTCCAGAGTGCTGGGACGGAGAGCTAGGCTCAGGTGTGTCCAGTGTGAGTCACTCCGAGTCCCACTTTCCTCATCCTTGAGGTATGACTAACACTGTCTGCCCCAATGAACACTGTACAGAGTATTTAGACAATGCAGGCTCCAGAGGGTCTTCTGGTGGTGGCTGCTGTCACTAGCTCCCTCTGCCATCTTCCCTCCTTGCAGGCCACTGCAGTCCTTACGTGATGGAGGTGAAGCTGCCAGAGTGTGCTCTCTCCGTGTGACCCTGCTACTCACAGGATCCAAACCCTTAATCTCTTCTCTCCACTGTTTGGTAAGCGCAGCCCCCAGGACAGTGTCTCAGGCCTCAGTATCTGCTTCCTGCTGGATTCTCACCAGCTCTTCCCTCCATAGCTCTGTATGGTCAGTCCATGTGTCAGCTACCATCAAGTGTCTGCAGTTTCACAATTAGCTCTCTGGGGACGCTCCTTTATCTAGGCAGAGTTCCCCTACTCTAGTTGTGGCCTTTTAGTCCGCTAAGATGTCCCCGCCTCCAACGAGCCTACTGGAGGAGACTTCCCACCCTCCAGCCTGAGTGTGCCCGTGGCAGTCTGTCTTATTTTCTTCAGCACAGTGCCTGGCGCAGAGCAGGACCTGCAATAGTGAGTTCAGAAAAAAACTGAGGAAAAGAACTGCATGGGCAGAACAGGCACGCAGTGAAAGAGGCAAGGTCCCCAGCCCTGGACAGTGGGAAGCTTTTCGTCTCAGAAGGCCTCAGGAGAGACAGTGCCTACATTCACTCCTATCAGCTCAGTGAAGCCTGCTGTCGGAGGCTGCTGCTTACAAGCGGACCAGGTCACACGGCCAGGGTTTACATACAACCTTCCAGGTTACCAGGAATCCTTAGGCATCTAAAATGATTTTCATTTCACATGTATGAAGATTTTGCCTGCGTGTGTGTGTGTGAGAGAGAGAGACAAGTACATCTGGTGCCCTTGGGGTCAGAAGAGACTGTCAGATCCCCTGGAATTGGAGTTACAGACAGTTGGGAGCTGCCATGTAAGAGCTGTGTCCTCTGCTGGAGCAACAAGAGCTCTTAGCTGCCGGGACATCTTTCTAACCCATGATCAGCACGTGTACAAACTCGGCACATTTCACAATTAGACTACTTTAGAACATTTCTGGTTTTTTCCAAGTTAATTCAAACAAGACTGTGTCTGCATTATTTGGCTAAAATTGTCCTTCTAAAAACTTGGCTCCAAATGGGAGGAAAAAAGAAGCCTGGAAGGGCATGAAACTGGCCTAGCAGATGAAATGCTTTAAATACAGCCAGTCTGGAGGTTGATCTGACATTGGAGAATACCTTCCAGAGAGCTGGCCTTTCACAGGGGACCTGGCAACAGACACACTCCAGGGACCACTTCGCTCCTCACCCACAAAGGGTCCTTGTTCCCAGTATTTCTGGTCCCCTTTCTTCCTAGCTGCAGCTTCCCTTTCTCTCTTCTCCACTCTCCTCCTCTCCTCTTAATTCTTCTTTAGGTTGTTGTTGCTTTCCCCGCTCTCAGCTCAGGCTCAGTATCATTCAAGTTTGAACAGCGTTTCACTCTGATGCCTCAGCTCCTGACCGCCCCATCTTCACCTGTCACCTGCCATGTATGGCACTCAGAAGCGAGAGCTTCTTCACCAGGACACACAATGCGGCCTGGGACATCCCCACTTGCACTGTGCACTGCCACTGACCACCCTCCTACACCTCGTACAAGAACCACTCTTGCAGGGAGGTGATTGCTAACTGTCCATAGATCTCACAGTCTCTGTCATTGCTGACTGCCCATAGATCTCACAGTCTAACAGTCATTGCTGACTGTCCATAGATCTCACAGTCTAACAGTCATTGCTGACTGCCCATAGATCTCACAGTCTAACAGTCATTGCTGACTGCCCATAGATCTCACAGTCTAACAGAGAAACAGCATTCGGCGGAGACAAATCATTGTTCTGTGAAGAGCCCAAGTCACAGCAGAGCCACAGGCAACTGTGTTCCGGCATTAGCAAGCACGGCTAATGGTGGAGGTTCCACCAGACTGTCCAAAAGATGGAGGTGGTGCTTACTCACATGCTGGCTGACAATGGGACAGCATGGATGACCTTAGTGTCCCTAGGGTCAAGGCACCAAGTCCCCCCAGCAGCCCTTTGCTTGGCATGTTTTGCACTCAGCTGGGGAGGCCTAGCCCTGGGAGGCCTGTTGGTTGGCTGGCATTCCTCTTCTCTAGCCACCCGTGATTTGCAGGTGCTAACACCTTTCTGTCCTGTTTCTGCTGAACGCAGACATGCCAGTAAAACCTAGGATTTGGGTATCAGAGCCCTCTGGCTTCCAATATTGAGAATCAAAAAGAGCAGGCAGCATTTTTTTCTTTCCCTTTCTTCTAAACCCAATTCTTCCCCCCACCAAGTGACCACACAGCATAGGTGCCCATATGACCCTTCATCCATCCATCAGGAGCAATGGTTTTTGAACACAGATATTGGAGGTGCAATCTAACCCTGCTGTACCTGTGCTATGCTGTACACACCCACCCACTAGAACCAAAACATCAAATGCTCAGTGGTTACTCTAGAGAGACAGCTGTCCTTTTCAGAAGGCCTGTGACCTACTGGCCTGCTGTCTACCTGGTCCCAGACATCAGTGCTAGAGGTCAGCTCTCCTGCAGAGAGTCCAGGTCACCTTTGTGCGTTGTCCCTTCTGGCTGGGTGTTTTTGTTAGTGTCACAGATCTCAGCCTCCTTGGGGCTCCCCATCCATTTTACAATGATTTAGAGCAGGTCACTACCTAGGTCACCCTGAACCCCTAAAGATGTATGCAGAGTTGTGTATGGCCAGATTTCTGGATTTAGTTTTTATTTTTAAATGCTTGTGACTCATTGAACACTGTACTTTAGGTATGTGGGGGCACGACGTCCACACCCATCACTGAAAAGCAGCTGAGAGCTGGTAGCTGGCATGCTTGGCCTTTCTTTCTTCCCGACACGGCTGTTGTCTGTGAGCACACCTCCCTGCTATTACCTTCTCACAACCACAAACTTCTGTGGGCCTCATGGCCACCATGCAGCAGCAACGGAGCTCAGCTGGCCAGACCATCTGGCCACAGAGCCCCCTGCCACATAGCTGAGTGAGGAGACAGGGCTGGTACCCGGCGCAACTGGCCACAGAGGCCCCTGCCACGTAGCTGAGTGAGGAGACAGGGCTGGTACCTGGCGCAATGGCTTGAGGAAAGAAACCTAAGGAGAGTCCTGACCTGGTCTTGCACCTGTTTGAGACGGGTTGGGAGACTTTCCCTGCTTAATCAAGTCAAGGGAAGACTTGTGTATTTTCTCTTATCAACTGTCCCTGGGTGGGAGGGTAAAGGCTTTCTTCCATTGTGTAGATGGGTGCTGCTCACACACAGTCAGGACAGCTCTGTCTTTGATAGTCTCCTGGTACATCGCTTCTATGGAACTACTTCAGTGGGGCTCGCATACTCTCCCCACAGCAGTGTGAGCACAAGCAGAGAATGGAGCTGAAGCATGTAACATTCTGGATACTGATCATAGCAAGGCCAGATTTCCAGGGTGCTACCTGCCAGGTGAAGGGGTGGGGACACGGGCCTCAGCGAATGTCACTCCAAAAGCACTCAGGTCCTCTCCTTGCTTTCACAAGCCGAGAGACCAAAGGCAGTGTGGCGAATAGCCATCCAGGCTTTCCCTGCTGCCTCAGAATCCTCTCAGGGTCTGATGACGCCTCAGGGAGTTTTTACACAAAGGACAAGGAGTGGTCAAGCCTGTTCCTTAAGCCTCCAACACTCTGAGATGCTCTGTCTGCAGATGAGCCGGCACAGAGCCAGACTAGTAAAGCCACTGCTGATTCTGCCTTTTGACGCCATACTGTCCGCAGCCTTTGAAAGCATCCGCCCGCTGTCCTTTCAGAGCAGGGATTACAGTGTCTGGCAGGCCGTCTCAATGCACAGTTGTTCTAGGGATTAGGATGTGCTTCCCATGTTAGGGACAGCAAGAAGGTGCCGACTTATTTGAAAAAAAAGTCTCAATAAACAGATTTCTAACTCTGCGGGTATAGGGAACAAAATGAGGCCAGAATGATTAATTTTCCAGAAGTTCCACCAGCTCTGAAATAATATGTGATAATAGCAGAAAGAATCACAGACAAGGGCTGGCCATTCCCAGACCTGACCCGTCCCTAAATACTCAGCTTCTCTTTCCTAGTTGCAAGTTGGGATGGAAAGAGAGATTAGGACTTGATTTCACCAGCAAAGCTCACTCAACACCACAGACTGTTTCTGCCAGATACTTTAGAGTCAATATACCCTCCTAAGCGCAGGCTTACCAAGCTCCCGTTACCTGCTCAAGCCGAGGCCCAGCCTTTGTCCTCAAGGAGCAGTGGCAGACACTATGCTGGCAAATATGGAGTAGTCAGTGAACTGGCAAGAACTTTAATGCATGGCGTGGGTTGGGATGGCAACGCAGACTCAGGAAGAGTCTGGAACAACTGGCAGGATGTCACAGAAGCAGAGAATGCTGGCTGAGTGCACAGACCATGTGGAATCAAGAGGAAGCCACATCACCATCCCAGCAGGGCAGGTCTGGGCTACAACGCTACCTTCTCCACCCAGTCGTTTTCTGTGCAGCTGTGTGGACAGTCTTTAGTGTTAGCTAGTGTCTCAGCGAAGTCTTGAAGCTCTGGCCAGCACTCTTCCCCTGACCAGCATGGATGGGATGAGGTCTCTGGAGTCCCTCAGTGTTAGAATTTGGAAGTATAATGCCTCCATAGACGCATGCAATTCAGTATTTGACCTCAGCTGGAGGCTGTTTTGGAAGGTTGTAGAATGCTCAGCAGGTGGGGCTAGCTGGGGGACATGGGATGCTGGGGGTGGAGGATGCTGGGAACTGGAAGTTACAGGGTTTTGACGGTTACAGCCTTGCCCTGCTTCTGGACTCTTTCTACTTCCTGCTTGGCACTATTTATTGTGCAAATAACAGGGATCTCTTTGCTTGGTATGATCATTTAACCAGTTATGATGGATTTTGCTGAAACGGTAGGTCCTTAAAAAATAAAAGAACCCTCTCCAGGGAGGTGTGGATGGGCTTGGTCTGGCCAGGAGGATGACTTTGGGGAAACAGCCAGAAGGAGACCGTGATGGGAAATAGGATGTGCTGAGGAGGAGCGGATGGAGAAGCGAGCAAGTCAGGAGAGGAATAGTGAAGCCCTCGCCACCCTTCCCACTGCTGCCCCTAGACTCCTGCTTGTGTCACCCATGACTCAGTACCTGGGTTCCCGGCTTCAGAGATGCTACGAGGTCTTTGACCATTTTGGCTTCAGAGACTGTGACGCCGCCCACCACAAAGAGGATCAAGAGGGGATGGTCACTGGGATGGGGCCGGCTCACCTGCAAAACAGAACAACATCAGATCAGACAGCAGTAATGGCTACTGCTTTCCTCCTGCGGATGGGACAGAGGAACCTTGGAGCGACAATGGCTTATTAACAGTCAGATGTGCCAATGCTTTGTGACTCCACTGACTAGGAAAATACACAGCATGGCACCTTAGTGCATCCTTCTAGAAAGACTTTATCGAAGGGAGAGTTAAGTGTGCTGGAGCCATTACCTAAGAGAAGGGCGGAGGGATGTCTCATCGCTCACTTGTCCTCCTTTGTCCCATGGCTCTGCCACGGCTGCCATTATGGCCTTTATGTGTTTCTTGCTTCTCCTCTACTAAGGTAGACTTTCCCAGGGCAGGCATGTCTGCCTAGACCTCTACCGACTGTTTTCCTTATCTTTGTAAAGCACAGAATTGGTTTCTATCACTGTCTGCAGGAGGAACCCAGTCGGTTCAGGTGGTGGGATGGGGGTTTACAGAGATATATACAGGTTTAAGATATACAGACAGATATAAAGGTCACCCTCCCAGGGATCACAGTCTGGCATGATTTGAACCAGACACTTCATCATAGCAGCAATAGCCTGTAGTGGCATTTCACTTGTATTTTAACAAATAAAGCTTGCCTGAAGGTCAGAGAGTAAAACAGCCCCACTGGTCAGCCTTACACTAGGCAGTGGCAACACACACCTTTAATCCCAGTGGCCACATTGGTTGCCATAGAAACAGGGTGGTGCATGATTTTAATCCCAGTGGTTCATGCTTTTAATCCCAGCCCTAGAAAGGATTATAAAACAGGAGGAGACAGCTCTTAGACACAGCCTCATTCTGAGATTCCTGGAAGCAGGATCGCCGTTTCAAACTGAGGTCTAGGTAAGAGCCAGTGGCTGGCTGCTTTGCTTTCAGATCTTCAGGTTGAACCCCAATTTCTCTTTCTGAGTTTTTATTAATCATGCTACATTAATTGCTAGAGATTTTTTTCTTCCCTGATTTTGCAATTTTACCCACAAGACAAAAGTTTTATTATATACTAGAATGAGAAGCATGCTTGGGAAATGCAAAATGACCCACAAATTGATCCAGTGATGAAGACATTAAGAGAATGAGAGCTCCTGAAGGCAGAATGTTGGGAGCTGTGAACCCCCAGATCCTGAATTTCTGGTAAACAACTTGTAATGCTTGCAGCTGCTCTGAGCGCAAGACCCTCAGGAGTTCCTGATGGCAGGAGGAAACTACAAGGAAGGAAGAGAAGTGGTGGAGAAAGGGAGAGGAGGAGAAAAGGGAGAAGGAGGAAAAGCTAAAGGGTTTTCATGGTAAGTCCTGGTGAGTCCTGGTCAGTTACAGAGCTCAGGAGGCCTACATGCCTCCCTGGTCCCCAGCTTAGCCTCTGGATGGTCCATTGCCCTCCACTGTGTTTGTTCTCTGTTTTCTTCTAATCCGCACACCACTTGCTTTTCAGCAACCTTGCTGCTAGCCCATGCTCTCCTGAAATTGCTGGGGTCACTTGCATAAGCCACTTAATTACAGCATTAAGAGTCACGGACACTCTTTGGTTTCCCTCTAGCAGGATCTTTTTGTGGAATCTCAAGTTGGTAACACCTCCTCTGACTTCTGTGTTGTCGCTGCTGGTTGTTCCTCCGCCTTTGTCATTTCTTCTCAGAGAGCTTCATCAACTCTTGCTATTGGTCTGCTTCTTTAAATACTGATATCGCTGAGGCTCTGCCCATGACTCCCCAGTCTTCTCGCTCACTCCACTGCCCCTGAAGGACCATCCTGCTTGTACGTATTTCCCACAGTGAGCTCTCTGGATATGACCTCCTGGACAACCCCTGATTCAGTGGGCTTCGTGCTCCTCTAATTCTGTTCTCTTGAGTGACTGACAGCACAAATGCCCGCGTCACACATCAGAGTTCTCTTAACCTCCACTGTCCCCTTCATCCTCTAGACCAGTGATTCTCAATGTCCTAGAGCTGGGACCCTTTAATACAGTTCTGCATGTTGTGGCCACCCCAACCATAAAATTATTTTGTTGCCACTTCATAACTGTAATTTTGTTACTGTTATGAACTGTAATATAAATATTTGGCATGCAGGATAGCTGATATGTGACCCAGGGGTCATGACCCACAGGTTGAAACCCACCTGCTCTAGATCAAGTTGTGCCCATGGCTATCACTGGCATCCTCCTGACACCACCATTTCTGCGCTATCAGTAGACCACTGTGACATCTTACTGTGTCTTCCATCCCTGGAGCTGTCGTTCCCTACATATTCTTATTTTTACCTTATAATCTTTCTTATTTTAAAGACCTTTTAAATTATTGTAAAAATTATGTGTATGTGTGTGTAACATGGAGGGGCCGGCTTGTTGGGGTTTCTGTCCTGCCCAATACCTCACAACCGGCAAGCCCCAAGGAAAATCACACACAGAGATCTCTATAAGTTATAAAGCTGATTGGCCCATTAGGTCAGGCTTCTTATTAGTTCTTATAACTTATATTAATCCATTATCATTATCTATGTTAGCCATAATGGCTCAGTACCTTTTCCAGCGGGGGCAGCTTACATGTTGCTTCTTCAGTGCGCATCTGCGCAGGAGTGGCGGAGGAACCTCCCTGCTTCCCAGAATTCTCCTGTTCTCATTGCATCACCTCTACTTCCTGTCTGGTTTTCCCGCCTATACCGCCTGCCTGGCCAATCAGCGTTTTATTAAAATATGATTGACAGAATACAGACACTTCTCCCACATCATGTGTGTGTCTATGTACATGAGTACAGGTCTCTATGGAGGCCAGAGGTATTGAATTCCCTGAAGTTATGGGAGGCACCCAACACGGGTGCTGGGAATCAGACTCTAGTCCTCTGTAAGAACAGCATAAGCTCTTACCACCCCGCCTTCCCTAGCCCTGACCTCATAAGCGTTCTGAACTATCACTGTTTAGTATCAACTACAGCAAGTGCTACATCATTTAATGTGTTACCCTTGCTGATTCTCAAAAGCCACAAACACAGCAGACACTGCAGATGAGGAAGTGTGGTGCCAGGGGCCACAGTGTAAATGCTACCTAGTTCCATCAGATGCTCAGTCCCAGCACATCTCTGTCTACTGAGGATAAAGGCACCCTCCTCACCCCAGAACGTAAGGCTGACTGCTTTATGTCTCCAGTTCATCTCCCATGAATACAGCATTTCCTGGAGCCATTTATGATGGTTTGTACCATGACCAAATGTATGATTTTCTTTCCTAGCTCCCCCCACTTTGGACTTTTTGTTGAATGCATGACATTTTACTACAAACAAACACCACTAGGTGGGCTTATCACAGGAGTCCACTTCAGTTTATTTTCACAAAGTCAGCAGTCCGACGTGATCCACACAGAAACCCTCTCAAGCCCTCCCCCCATCACTAGACTACTATACTCAGCATGGCTCTTCAAGGAAAGCTGTCGTGGCCTATGGGCCCTGGTGGGCCACAGCATTGGGCTTTGTCTATCTCAGTGCCATGACATTCCAGTTCCCAAGGGTTACCTGCATCAAGCAGTCTTAAGCAGCATTTAGTCTCCTCTGTGGGGAGTGTCCTCACCTCCCCCTTTGCTGACCCCCAAGAGTCCTTAAAAGCATCCCTTGTCCTGGCTCTCCCAGGCCTCCCCCTACTTTTGTCCCATGGTTGCTGTCTGTTAAGCAATTCCATCTTGACCTTGGCAAACCAGATAGCGGATCCACCATAGCCACCTTCTCTTCTGACTCTTGAACATCTTGATCTTGGCATGTTTGGTGCTGAGCGTAGTATCTTTTACATGGCGAGCTTTTGGCAGACAGCTTCATGGGTAAAGGTGCCTGCCACACAATCCTGGCAACCTGTGCTCCATCTCTGGGGTTCACACAAGGGTGGAAGTGGAGACCTCCACACACAGGCTGTAGCATGTGCCTCACTCCCATGAATCACAACACACAAATAATAATACCGAATTAAATAAAAGATAGTCAAATAGTGGAAGTTGGAAAGGAAGGGCGGAAAATAATATTTTAAAAACAGTCTTGAGTTGGGCACTGGTGGTGCACACCTTTAATTCCAGCACTTGGGAGGCAGAGGCAAGAAGATTGTGGTCATTTTGGTTTACAAATTGAGTTTCAGGACAGCCAGGGCAGTTACACAGAGAAACCCTGTCTGGAAAAAAATCAAAAGATAAGACAAAACAAAACAAAACAACAACAAGAAGACTCCCGGCTCCTTCTCCAGCACCATGTTTGTCTGCACACTGCCCACTGCCATGAGGATTATGGACTGAACCTCTGAAACTGTGAGCCCCAGTTAAAAGTTTTCTTTGTGAAGTTTGCCCTGGTCATGGTGTCTCTTCACAGCAATAGAAACCCCAACTAAGACAGTGCATCTGTTGAGGCGGGCATTGCTGATGAGACTTCACGAGTGTGTAGCTTCTCTGACATTTCTGACTTCTTGTTCCTTCAGCTCTTACAGTCTTTCCACCCCCTTGTCCCTAGTAGTCCCGGAGCCCTGGGGGGAGGAGTTGTGTTGTAGATGCGCCAGCTGGAGCAGGCCACTGCACAGTCTCTTGTTTTCTGCATTTTGAGGGGTTATAGTTTTCTGTAATGGCCTTTGCTTAGACACGTCCCAGAATTTCTCTCTGTGCTCTGCTTTCTGAGTAACTAGACCCTGAGAAGCCTCCAGCCCCACAAACAACTGTTGTCTCTCACTTAATCCTGGGACAGAAATACAACTGGCTCTGGAACTTCAGCATGGCACAGTGTGTTCTTCAAGACATATGCTTTCCATAGAGAGTCTGGAATCTGAAGCACATGCCGAGAATCTTGGAAGGACACAGTAGAAGATGAAAAGGGGAAGAAGCGGAACACAAGGAACAACAAAGAGCGGTTCCCCGGGGCTAAGAAGTGGAGGGACAAATACATGGGTTCAATTAATGCACGTTGGTGTTTGCTATTTTGGTTTCAGCTTAGATTTGTGTGTTGATACCAGACTTTCTCTTCAGAG